ACGGTTATAGACTAACTGAAGTGTAGGAGCATAAGCTTTTGTGGGCAAAGACCCACTTCGTCACATGCATCTGACGAAGTGGGTCTTTGCTCACTAAAGCTTATGCTCCTACACTTCAGTTAGTCTATAAAGTGCCACAGGACTCCTCGCCGCTTTTGCAGATTCAGACTAACACGGCTACCCTTCTGATAATAGACATGTATGTAAGTTAAGTCACAAGAATTTCAGTAGCTGTTTCCATTTTTCTTATTAATGTTTTGCTTCTTGCTTTTTATGTCTTTATGGCCTGCTAATAAACACATTCACTTAACTTCTATAACTAGCCTTTCTTGAATATCATATTCTGGTTTTACATTTGCTTGAAACAGTCAAGAGGATCGTCTTACTGTGTTTGGTTAAGAAAATTACACATGGGTTTTTGCCATGATATCTGTTTTCTAAACAGGTGTACGATAATCCCTGATAGCCTTCCACATCAATCTGTTACACCACTAAATAAAGATTTCTCTGATTTAATAAGGGCTTTTAGCCAACTGCAGTTATATCTGCCAAAGAATTTTAGTTAGAAGAATAATTGAAAAGATACATTATAATAAACTATCAATTTCTGCTTACTATTTTAATGGTTTAAAGTATTTCTGAGGAATATTTTTCTTGTCATTACGCTAATTGGAATATGAATAAATAATTGTTTATTTTCATTCTCTAAATTAAGTGAATATCTTGTGCTTTTCAATCCTGGAAGGAGCTGAGCACTGCCTAAGAATCCGTGTGCTCACTAATTTGCTGGAAACTCTCAGCACTTTGCTGCTTGAACACTGAGATATATGAAAAATATCTAGCGTGATTAGCAGGCATGGGTCATTAATATCAAACAAAGCCATCATTAAAACATTAAACATTTTATTTTAATACGTATTTTATATCAACAGTTCTTGTGCTTGAAACACATGATTAATGAACACTGACATGTTGCTACAAACCAGCAGCTTTTTGTCCAGCCCATTCTGTAGGTATGATGATGACTCAATGGCAAAATTATTTATTCCTCAGAAAGTTACAATACACGTAATTGATCTTTTGTTATAGTATAATTTTAAACCTCATTGCACTTAGTCTAAACAAAGGGAAAATTTAAACCAGACACTGCTAAAATAGTTTTCACTAGAGATAATGGAAACAATGTTCTCCTTTTAAGTCCATAAAAGGCAATGAAAATCCCAATACAGCTGGACATTTTTCACTTTTTTTTTACTCAACATGTTTTTTTTTCCTCCAAAGTTTTCATGTAATATAACAAATATTTGTCAGGTAAGTTTATATAACACCAAGCTAATTGAGATTATTTTAAGGGAAGAATGGTATTTCAGTTATGATGGTATAAGTGTTGAGTAACTCTGTTGAGCTATATGGAGTTGCTTCAGATTTATACTGTGGTAGTTTACAGTATAATATTGGTGCTTACAGTTTCTACAGACTACTGTTTAAAGTACTTTTACCGCATGGCTTCATCAGAGATATTTATTCAAATTCTGACACTTATGTAATACTGAGTCTCAGTGCAGTACTATCAGATCTATGTTGATGAAGTGAAAGACCAATGAAATATGCTTTCAGTACATGCAAGTACTGTAAACCAGCTAAAAATAAAGAATGTTGATGTGTTTTATATATATCATGTAAAGCCCTACATTTAAACTAAGTTTACCTAATGGAGAGGAAATGTATTTTGCTATTTAAGAATGTAATATAGATATTTATGTATTACAGTCATTTAGTCATTTCAGTCTCTGAAATAAATACCAGTTTTAAGAATAGAATACATAGAGGAGGGTTTGTGTTTCTAATCCTCTTTAAATGTGAAGTATTATAAGAGATTAATATTGAGTATCACTAAAAGCCACTAGTTAATGCATAGGATTTTCTTGCGTGTTCATGGTGCAATAAATTTGTAATAAATCACTGATGTAAAATTGATGAAAACATAGAACTGTACATGAATGTCCAATGTACTGTCCAATGTACAGATCTAGACTTAGTTCAAGATTGGTATTACAAAACTCTTAACTCACATTGACATGAAGATTAGTGTACAAAGATCCAACAACAAGGAACAGCTGTTAAGTCCCCCTCTCTTCCAAGAATCACTGGCCAGTTACTGGAATTGATGTGAGCTACAATATGGTCAGGATATTAGGATGGACTTTGGCTCCCTGTGGGTCCCAAACTGGAGAGTGAAAATCTGAGAACTTTGGGAAATCACACTCTCCTCTTACCTTGCCATTGTCCCTTGACACTGGAATTTCATTTCAGAGGTACTGTATGAGCCAAAACTGAATGAAACCCTTTTTACCTGACACAGCAGTCTCAATTCATAAACACATAAAACATTTCAAAACTGTCAACTTCAAGCTAATCTATAAATTAGAACAATACTAATAAATACAATCTACAGCTAGTGCACTTATTTATTGCTTCATTCAAGAAAAATAAAGAGCCAAAACTAAAGCAATGTTAAAAATAATAAATAAAAAGGAAATGGAAAGGATACCTACCCTGGTTATGATCAAAGGCTGGTTAAAATCTATCCCTCCTGTCAGCCTGAATCCCCAAGGAGCAGGTCCTGGGAGAATAACATTCTGTGGCATTGTGCAGCAGTTTTCTGACAGTTACTATTGGATTATTTTTCTTTTCTCCAAAGCTCAGTGAAGGCTGAGCTGCAGGAATAAAAGTTCGGTTAGCAGTGTCTTTTGCAGACTCTCTATACCTCTAAAAAGTTTTTTCTCATCCCACAGCTGCAGAAACAGCACTTTATCCCTGCTCTTGTATGACGTCAGCTGTCTCTTGTCTCTCCACCCACAGGGAGGGAAGTACCAACTTTGGTAAAATAAAGTCTTGATACTCTGTGGAGCTCATAGCAAATAGCTCTACTTTATTTGCTACTTCACTGTGTACAGCCTAGCTACTCATTCAGTAAGCTTCAAGTTACAACTTCCTATTTCTTTCTTAAAGCAACCTGGTCTCATTTTGATGTGATTGTATTACTGTCTCTGTCTTTGCTTTGACCATATCACAGCATCATCAACATTTCACTTAACCAGAAATATTGATGTTTAACTTTCTCCCTTGTGAATGATCATTTAGCATTTTAGACGGCTTATGATACAGTCATTTACTTGACCACAAAGTTTTTCTAGGTCTTCATTTATTGTTTTTGGCTATATGTTTTGAATAGTGTTCCCATACAAAATGTTTCACTGAAATTGAAAATTTTTAAGAGTGTCATAGATATTTCTTATATGTAAACTTGGAAATAAAATTGTAACTATAGTTTGGTCCTCCCTGGTCTGGCACTGTTGGGACCTGAGTAGTCCTGACCAGGTTGTTTGTTGGACCAGGGGAGGTCAATTCTCTCCTGTTGGCTGTCCCACTCTCAGGCTCCCAAAGGTGGGGCTCCTGCTTGCTGCCGCCGGGGCTTCACCTGATGGGGCCACCTGAATTCCGCCAGCCCCACTTGGACGCTGATGCTGCCTCGCTGACGCTAGGAGTTCCCCAACCCCACCAGGCCCTGTTGACACCAAGGAGTTCCCCGACCCTGCCTGGCCTTCATAACGCTGGGGAGATCTCCGGCCAGGGCTGCCCAGCCCACTGCCATTGGGTGTTTCTTGAGGTTACTCAGCTGAAGTCACTTGGCCACCATTGGCCCCACTTCCGGGAACAGTCCTGCTGCTGCAAGGGCTTCCCTGAGGCTGCCTGGCCCTGTTGCTACAAGGGGTTCCCCAGGCAGGGCAGGGACTCCCCATCTGTGGGCTGGCCTGGCTGACACCAGGGGTACCCTGGCAGGGGAGGTCTTCACTGCCCCCACTTCACTATGCTCCTCCACCATTTTTTGGAGGCCTCGCCATGTGGTCCATTCAGGGAGAGGTGCTTAAAACTAGGTGGACCAGGAGAAAAATTAGGTGAGCTGGGTGTGGGGGGAGGGGTGGGAGTGGAATCAGTGGTGCACATAGTCATCTCTTTGCTTTTGTGGGAAATTTCCTTGGATTTCTTTCTTTTATGCTGAACACCAAGGGAGCCTGAGAATGAAAAGAGGAGGTGATGCGATTAGGGATTTGTCAATTTTCTGCATGGCCCAGCAGCCTTTTCAAAAGGGAGCATACCACAGCCCCTCCTGATAGGATGTCAAGTGCGTGCATCAGGAAGTAGAGGGATGATTCCACAAGATACTCACATATCAAGATGATGGATGTGGCATAGAACCCGAGTGGAATTGAATCCCCTCTCATAGATTTTATACATGGCATGAGTATGTATTTTACCATGTATTTTCACCCGTTGTTTGTAGTCCATCAATCAGTTTTGAATCCATAGGAAAGAGCTCATATCAAAACCAGTTCTAATCCATTTTATAAGAGTTTTTTATATTATGTATTAGATATTTTACTAAAATACCTACATATATACTCATTCATAAGCTGACATTTTTTGGAAAAAATTCCACTGTGAAGAGTGAGTGTAGGTTTATGATCGGATTCTTCCCGAGTTGCAGGAAGCAGTATGGGTGGAGGGACCTGCTGGCTGCTGACATGGAGCCTCTGAGCTGAGCTGTTTGCTGTTGCCAGCCAGTGGCAGCTGAGAGGCTCTATGCCTGCAGCCTGCATGTCCCTCAGCCCACGCTGCTTCCCATGGCTCCCAATGGCTAATGGGCCCCTGCCTACTGGTCTTCTACTTTGGTTGCATGTACCTCAGCCATACAGTCTGCTCTGCCTGCCTGCAACTGGGATTCCAGCATGTCCCTCAACCTGTGCTGCTTCCCGAGCCGGACAGGGGCTGCTCCGTGGAATGTTGGAGCAGCCTCTATCCATGGAGAGCTTGGGCCCTCCCATGGACAAAGGCTGCCGCCGCCCTGTGCTGCTGCTTCTGTGTCAGTGGCAGCAGCATAGGGTAGCAGGTGGATCCCCTGCATACTCTTCATTTAAAACTTTGACTGGCAGGCTGGGACTGAGCCAACTTGCAAGTCCGAGTTTTAAATGCAGAATACGCTGGGGGTGGTGGTGGGTGGTTGCTGTGGTTAACCAGGACCGCACTTGCTTATTTGTTAATTTGTTAGCTGACTAGCTGGTGACAACCTGTGACAAAGTGGAGGATTTTTGGGGAGTTCAAAGGGGTTGCATGCAGAATGGGGGCACTCCATGTCCCTTGCTGTTACTGGTTAACAAGGTGAGGGGAGAGGGAGTTTGTTGTTACAGGGACTAGCACAAAACTGGAGACTCCAGTGATTGGTGACCGGAAGACCCAGATGAGATGGCACAGCTGGTTCTGACCAGTGGGAAGACAGTGGATGGTAGAGAGACCACAGTGATCTGACCAGTGAGTTTAAACAGCTACTATGAGAACTAGAACTTCTCAGTGTTAGTTTCTATATATTTGTCTTTCAGTTTAGGTCAGTTTTTACATAATTTATAATAGAAATAGGTAAAAGATTTAATCGGTTGGTGCAGAGTAGTTTAGGACCTGTGGCAGTAGCCACTGCAAGCAGGGATCCCCACAGCTGGGTCCTGCTAGGCAGTCCATGGTGGGTAGCAGGCTTTTCTGGCCCTGGCTGGCCTGGTCACGCTGTACCATGGGCATGTGGGCAAGTGGCTGTTCCGGCTCCACTGTGCTGTGGGCATGGAGCTGTTACCACTGGCCCAGCCCTCCGGTTAACCAGTTACCTTGGTGAGCATTCTGGTAAGGCTAATGCTTACGGGGTAACCAATTAACTTTTTACATCTCTACTTTTGATCTCTTTCTTCATGTTGTGCCTGCTTTGCAGGTGTGGCATGGTGGCCTGCCTGGGCCCAGAGCAGTTGTTTAACTCCTTGTTTACTGGATCGGAATTTGAATACCCTGTTATATCATCCCAGAATGATATTTGTCTTTTTTTAATTTTTTTTTGGCAATTGCATCACTTTGTTGCCTCATATTCAATTTGTGATCCACTGTAACCCCCCATATCTTTTTCTACAATACTATTGGTTAGCCAGTTATCCTCCGTTTTGTGGTTTTGCATTTGATTTTTGCCTTTCTAAGTGAAGATCTTTGTATTTGTCTATGTCGAATTTGATTTGGTTGGTTTTAAACCAATTCTCTAATTTATAAAGGCCATGTTGAATTTTAATCCTGTCCTCCAAAGTACTTCCCCCTCTCTTCAAGTTTAGTGTTATCTGCAGATTTTACAAGTATGTTCTCCACTTCATTATTCAGGTCATCAGTGAAAATAATGAATGGTACTGGACTTCCGCAAAGACCTCCATGGGGACTAGATATGTTCTCCTTGACTGATAGCGAACCACATATAACTACTCTTTCAGCATGTTTTTCAATCAAGTGTGCACTCACTTACAGTAGTTTCTCCTAGGCTGTATTTCCCTAGTTTGCTTATGAGAAATTACTATAAGTGAGTGCATGTCCCCACGTCTCCAGTTTTCTAAACTAAGTATACCCAGTTCCTTCAGCCTTTGCTCATATGTCTTACATTCCATCAGTTAGAGCAGTGTTTCTTAAACTATGTGCTGCGAGGCAGTCGGAGATGTGCTGTGGAGAAAAACAGAATTCAAAATGGTTGCCCTTGAAGGGGCAAGTGACCTTTTTTGTCTTTTCCCTGATCCCTTTTTTTCCTCAATAACTCCCCCCCGACTTATTTTTTTTCTCAATAAAAAATTCTTGTTGTTCCTCATTAAAAAAAATATTGTTTGGTGTTCCTCGGTCTTAAAAAGTTTAAGAAACACTGAGTTAGAGCATTTTCAACACTTACCTGTGGATCCTTCCCAGTTTTTCTGCATCCATTTTATACAACAGTGACCAATATTGGACATAGTATTCCAGCTGAGGCCTAGCCAGCATTGAGTAGTGTGATATCCCCTCTCATGACTTGTGTACTATACTTCTATTAATGTAAACCAAAATTACATTTGCTTTTTTTGCAGTAGCATTGAATTGTTTATTCATATTGAGGTTGTGATCCACCACAACTTCCACATCCTTTTGAGCAATGCTATTGCAAAGCCAATTATCCCTCATTCTGTATTTGTGCATTTTGGTTTTTCTTCTCTATGTGTAGTACCTGACATTTGCCCTTGTTGAATTTCATTTTGTTATCTATAGCTTAGTTTTCCAATTTATCAAGATCCCTTTCAATTTTAGTTCTATCCTCGATACTGTTTTCAATTTTCCTAGCTTTGTATCATCTTCAGACTTCATCAGTATGCTTTCTATTCTTACAGGGTCATTAATAAAAATGTTAAATAACACTGGGACAAATCCCAGTGGAATCCCTTTTGAGACCTCCTCCAAGCTAGCGTAATTCCATTAATAATTACTCTTTGCTTGCAGTTGTTTATCAAATTAAGTATCCACTTAATGGTATGACATTAATTATGAGAATGTCATGTGAGACTGTGTTAAAAGCCTTTCTCAAGCCCAGGTATATTATGGCCATTACATTTCTTCTGTCCACCAAAGCTTACTAAAGAAGTAAATCAGGCAGGTTAGGTAGGCATGATTTGTTCATGGTAAATCCATGCTGGCTGCTAGCGATCAGCACTTCATCCTGCAGGTATTTGCAAATGGAATGTTCTGTTACCAGTTTGTGCTGTTCTCCTCCTTAGCAATTTGTCCAAATTTCTACTTTTTGAGGTATTGTTTTTTTGATTTTTAGGTAAAGAGTTCCTAATGCAGGTATATTTACCTACTAGTATTCTTCCTATCTTTCCTTCCCATCAGGATAGCTTGCTGCTTCACCTTTAGTATGGTCTCTTTAAGATACATACAGTGTTCCTGAACTTCTTTTTCTCTTTCATTTTCTACCAGTTCTCTGAGCTTAAGTATGCTTTTTTGAAGTCCATCCTCCTTATTCTGTTTAATTAATGATCCTTA